GTGCATGGTGGTGTATATGGCCTTTATGGGTGATATTGTTTTGGTACATAAAGAAAATTATCATGTTGTTGTTGTTGTTGTTATCGAAGGCCCCGGGTGTATTTGTTGATCGAATATCATCGTTACCTTTATATAGATTTTTTATTTTTACCTAGACACAAACAATAAAAACACACACACACACACACAGGGTAATAATTCAAATCAAACAGGTATTATTATATTTTATGTGTTTTTTCCAGCACATTTGTTGTTGTTGTTGTTGTTGTTCAAATCACAAGCTTAAATAATTCAATGAAATTACATTATACACATACACAAATCATCTTGTCTCATTGTAATATTATTTATTTTAGCCATTTATATGGATAATAATAATAATCAGAATAATAATAAGGATAGTGATAATAATGATAATATAATTTATGACACAACTGTGAAATAAAACACCCATCATCATAATCATATCTTTTACGGGGTTAATTTTTGTTGTTGTTGTTGTTGTTATTATCGGTTGTTTGGAAGCGCAGACCAGGTAACTTCGCTTCCAGGTAAGGCATAGTCACTTATATTCACTTATGTTTACTGTTGTTTTTTTTTATATATGAAAAGGATTACATATTTGGAAGATTTTAACACGTGTTTTTCATTTACACAATGCAAGGCAATGGTGTGTGGGTATCAAAAAAATCCGATCATTTTTACATTATGTATCCTGTGTGTATATTTCTATGTTCGTGACAAGTTTGTTTTCAAAAAAAAAAATCTATTTTTTCCCCTATGATTGTCAATTGTTAATGGTGTAATTCTAACGAAAGAAGAAGAAGAAAACAAAAACAATTAAAAAAAGCTAATAAATTTTTTTATTAACTTTTTTTTATTACTTTAAAAAATTTTGGAAAAAGTTTTTCAATGTGTTTTTTGCCAGAGGAAAATTATATCATTAAAATTTCTTTTTCATTTATTCATTTCATTATCAACATATTTAGCAGTAAAGTTTTTTCATGGCTAAAATGAGAAAGAAAGAGAGAGAGAATGATAAATGTTAATAATAATAATAATAATATAAAAACTTGATTCTAAAAATAAGAATATCATATTTTATATACGCGAATATATAAAAAAATATCGTAATTTTTTTTTATTACTCAACATGGATTTTATTTCGGGTTATTTTATAACTTGAAACACACATACACGCATTTACCATTCCATTTGATTCGATGGTCGATGGTCAAAAATCATCATGTTGTTAGGTTATAATTTTTTTTGTTTTGTTGGTCAAAATCCATTGATAATATTATTATTATCCATTGACCAAAACGATAAAGATTTTCTGTTTGTTGTTCTGTTTTTGTTTTTAATGTAGCTATCAAATGTTGTTGTTGTTGTTGTTGTTGTTACTGAAACAAAAAAAGTAAAATAAAATTCTATACGCGTGTAATGTTCATGTAAGGGGAAGGAAATGATGGTGGTTGATGTTGTTGTTGTTGTTGCTGCTGCAGCTGATGATGATGATGATGATGGGCAATTTTATTACTATTATATAGCCTGTTTTATTATTATTATTATTATTATGATAGGATTATTTATTAAAGTAATAAAATAAAATAGAAATAGAAGAAAAATGAAATGAAATAAATTAATATTAGCCATAATAAATTATCCAAAATAGTGTGTGTGTGTGTGTGTGTTATGTTCAATGTGTAACGTTATATATGAACCCTGAAAATAGTAATGATATAAGAAGATGAAAAAATATAGGTAGTTAAAGTTTGTTTTTTTACTACTTTTTTTTCATCCATAATTTTTTTCGTCGTTGTTGATGGTGGTCATAACTTTCAACTGACTAGAGATGATGATGATGATGAAAAAAAGTCTAGAATATAGGATGATTACCCGAGAATTAAAAAAAAAAAAAAAGTTATAAAATTGTTATCGTTGTTGTTGTCAAAGATGGAATACCAACCGACCGACCAACAACAACAACAAAATTTTATTATCATTTTACATTGCCTGTGTCTCTGGCTTTTACCAGCTTTGTAGGCAAATCTTTAATATTGATGATGATTTGAAAATGTGGAAACGAAAAATCACGCAGGTTCACACAATGATCGATCAAACAATTGTTAATCAAATTGAAATTTATTTATTTATGAGGATAATAATGATGTATGATCCATATATCAAACCAAAATAATAATAATAATAATAATAAAATCACAATTACGATCACGTGTCGTCCATTTGATTATTAATATGTTTGATGTTTCCGTTATTGTGTAATATTACCGATGATGATGACAATGAATCAATGAATATGACAACGTAACACAAATCATTATTGGATTTTCTATCTGCTTCTTGCCTCTTTTTTTTATTTATTTATTGTCGAGTTCTTTTTTTCATTTATTATTTAAAATTTGAAATTTTCTTTGGAACAACAACAACACATGTCTAAAAAAATTTGAATTGAATCTAATCTGATCTGTATTCCTTTTATCTGTTTGGTTGTTGTTATTGTCATTGTTGTAGTTGTTGTTGTATGTAACACACACACATTATAATTTATCACTTTTAACCATTCATTCATTCATTCATCATTATTGAATGATTTATGCCTTGTTTGTATATTTTTTTTTGTTTGTTTGTTTGTAGATTTGTTCAAAATGGTTTTTCGTTTTTCTTCTTTCACTCATTCATTTTGATATCAATCGATCCATTATACTCCTTTTTTTTCTTCTTTTGAAATTTCTTTACAAATTTTTCAAAGTTGTAGTGTCGTTGTCGTATATAAAGATATATTTAAATTCTTATTTGATCAATTGGTTTTTTTTTCTCTCTCTCTTCAATTCTCCACTGTAATGTCAATGTCATAATGATCAATTGTGCTGTATATGTTTTAGATAAATTGATCAATGAACCGCATGTTTTAGCCCCGATAATTTACATTTTTCAAAGAAAAACTTTACAGGAACAGCCAAAAAAAAATTACAAAGCCATCATCCGTTTTAGGGGGAGGTCATCCATTATCGTATCAGAACAGAAATTGTCAATTTTGATACGGTATGATATCCAAATGTGAATGAATGAATAAATGATTGAGAGAAAGCCAGAATATGATGGACCAAAAAAAAAAGTGGATTTAAAAGCAATAATATTTGAATTGATTGACTTGACCCTTGACTAAATATATATGTTTGTTGTTATTATTATCATTAATATTGCTTGACCATCATGATGGCGATCATATTTTTTTTTTTTTTTTTTTTTGTTGTTTGGGGGGGGGTTTTTGGGATTTATTTTTTTTTCCTTTTTAAAAT